TCACATAGTACCCTGCCATTTAAAGAAGAATAAGTAGTAAATAGAAATGACCGTATCGTTATTATTATTATTATTGCCGTCATTGTTATTGTTATCAGTGTTATTACCTTTGTAACAGCTATTATTTTTGTTATTACTATTATTACTAGCATAATTATAATAATTATTGCTACGATTATTATTATTATTATTATTTCATATCCTTTACAAAACAATATCAATTTCAAATGTGTGTTGACCGTCGAATAAGTGCACAACGATCTTTTAAATCGCTATAAATAATGTAGTACCAATCACTAATTTAAACATCTCTCCTGCATCTACATACTCAACACTTCGTGGATTTTTCGTTTTTGAGATTTTCAACTGGAGACTGGGGCCGATAACATATTGGTAGTGATGTCGCTTATCACAAGCATGATACTGGTTCGATTCCGCTCCGGACCAACCAAGCCTCTCATCCCATCGGTATCGGTGAATTGGTACCGGACTTGTTTGGGAAAACACCACTCTTTGCAATCCAATTGGGAACGCTCTAGCCCGACTATCTCAGGACTCCAGAGAGAATTCCTTGACCAGCGTTCTACGACATTCAAGATGAAATGAAGATGCTCAAGAAGCAACCGAAGCCACACGTAAAGTTGGAAGGTCTTCGTGGACAGGGATGCGAGGGAACGAATTGATTGCGCAATATGCTGGGATCCGAGTAGATGTGAAGACCGGTCAAATAAAATAAAAATAAATAAAATAAACTAGAGATTAACTCCAAACGGTTCACAGCCTAATCGTGGCTGGGAGGTGTTCTTGGGTGTCGGGCTGCTATGTACAGCAGGGGATCATCTCTCTAGCAGGATCTCCCTGGCTAAGAAGGAGTCCGGCGCTTCTATCAGGAAGCCTAGCTAAAAGTGAAACCAATAGCAGGATCCACCAGCTTTCTGGTATCAAACAAGTCGCAAGTTGGCAAATCTCTTTTATCCACAAGGGCGGCGATTGCTTGTGGTGGTGACCACCTAAGGAAGGATTCAGCTAGGCTGACCTCAGGAGTCCAGTAAACCACTGTGGCTAAACCAAAAAAGACTCCAGAAAGTGGAAATTACGCTGGAGCTCGCACAGCCAGTGAAGAAGAGTCATCCTAGTAAGTGAGTATACGTATAACTAGAATTGTGAGACTAGACAGACGATATCTACTTAGATCAGGTAATTTCTTGATAAATTCCATAGGAAAGAAGGAACGTGGTGGTGTTTCGGATGGTGCGCTGCAAGTGGAATAGATGTTATGCATGGTTCCTGGTCGTTTTCGATAAACATCATCTTGATACTAAAATAGCGCAGATCGCAGTAAGTGACTCGATCTTCTGAAAATCGCTGACCATTATCATACCAGGGTTTTTTGCAAAAATAAACTTAAAAGTCACTACCGTTTTTTGAGCTTTTGTGAAAACTCAGTTGAAAAACTGTTTGGTACTTTTCTTCAGACATTTCTACAGTTTCTACATATTATAAGCAGTGTATGAAACACAAGAATTAGGGTTTGATTTGTAATACACAGATGGTCTTTAGTTCGAACTAACGCCCCAGGCTAGCCAACCTTGCTCACCCTCCGAGATTGAAAAATTGGTGAAGGACCTGTCTGGAAAGATACCACCACTGAGATGATGCATCGGTTTACCAGCGTAATTCTAGGTTATATAATGATAGAGGATGTTGAGCAGGCTTTTCTGTTATAGAGATGAAAATATCCAAGAATGATATATAGAGGTGCAATGTAATTATAAATGCGATTTGTCTAAAGAAATAGAGAATAGTTTCTACGTACATCGGGGTTCCAGATATTTTGTTACTGTCTTCACGGAAAACACTCCTTGGAGGCTTTCGCAATCTTTTTCTTCGCCCGTCGAGCCAAATATTCTGTTCTGGAACCAAAAAAACAGCTTTGAATGAAAGGCGTTACAAAACTGAGTTAAACGAACTTTTTCTGCAACAACAAAGTTAACGGGGATGTGATAAAATAGAAAAGCTGTGATACATTCGTTAATTATTAACCTGGAATCCAGTTATAACGAAAGGGAAAGCCTTGTCTCGTTTACAAAAAAATACGTCATTAATTTTCGGGGCAACAAATTTCGTTTCGTTAGCCGCTACTAGTAAACAGAAGCTGTTCAATAGAATTCTTAGAAGCAGATAACTATCACACTGAACAGCTGAAAATTGGTGGTGGAGGTCGTCAGTTGACATTTACAGGTTTTTCAAAAGCGTGGCGATTTTTAAAGTTCTATGGAGCCTGTTCCCTACAGAAAATACTACCATACCCTACGTGATATAATCATGTTGCTTACACTACATTATCTGTCCAATATCATATATTTTTTGTGGTTTATTTTTGCCTCAAATAAAAGCAAACATCGTTATGCCTAGTCTTTAAATTTCCGCCACGGTGAGTTTGATCTAATTACACACTTAAAAGCTCTCAAAGAAAGCATCGGGCACCGCCTTGCTGATGAGCCTTTATAAAAGGGTTAATGTAATTGTACAGCGTATTCGTTTCTGTACAATCAAAGGTTCCTCCGTAGGGGTTATATGCAGTCTGCAATGACACAGGATCATTGGCTCGATTCCAAGCCCCGAGGTAGCCAGGCTCTCCATCTCTCAGGGTTTGGCAAATTGACGTCACACCTGTCTGCGAGGAGAAGAACACTGGCTTTATTATGCCACCAAAATTCATTGTATGGGACAAATATCGGCGGTGCTTAATGGTTGTGAATGCATACTGCATCACTATTGTTGATTATGATTTATCACTGCCAACATAGTTTTGTACTCGCCCTTACCACATTCAAGGATTCTAAGAAAGCTTCTATTCTAAGTTCATCTATGTGTTCCCACATAACGTTTTTTGTTTACAACCTTCTTTCTATATTATATTGATGCACAAAAAGCGAGGGCAATATTCTGTCAAGAACACGGCACCATTATTCGTTAGACTTAATCTTTTGCACTATCCTTTGACTGTTCGTTCACGTCTTTTCACGCACAACTATTCAGATGTCAACTTTTTAAATTATTATTTGAGTCAAGTGATGGTTTGAGTGTAATCAATCTGGTGAAACTGTCGTTGAAGTTTGTTCAAAGGTTTTGCTTCTTGGCATGAAGCTTGGCTTTCGAGTGCGAATCCCTGCGGGGCTAACAATGACAGTGCAATAAACAATAGCCTTCCTGTCTTTTTAAACTGATGTGCCTAAAAACCCTTCAGAGGGTTTAAATGCTACACTTCTGTCTACGTCTAAGGCAAAAATGTTCGGTAGCCGAACCTGAGAGTGGCTAGTTTGAAAAAAAGCTTTTTATCGGATTCTCAAACTTTCTTTACGCAAGCTCTCTTACACTCTACCTAGTCTTTCTCTGTCCTTTACCCTTAGCAGCACTTGTCAATAATGCGAGTCGACCAAAGGCGTGTCGACCTCTATGTACTTCACATTAGATCATTTTGATCAGTTGTTTCCATGTGGTTTTTGTAGTTTCCATTAGCAGTGCAACTATTTATTTCTTCTTTTATTTATTGAGATCAAAAAATTTTTGTCGGAAAAGCGAGTGTTTTTCTACGAACAGATAGGTTGCAGAGAAACTATTGCCGTTCTGGGTGAATAAGATTCAGCAACTGATATTAGTGATTACCGACGATAACGTACTCTTATGACTTCAAAGAAAACCATGCTCAACCAGTAATCAACATGACAGTGAAGATAACAATTTTTTTAACCGCAGTTGAACACGCGGATCCTACCGGTTTGTTCACCAAAGTGGTAGGGTTTGCACAACCTGAGAAGTTCGTCTGAGTAGACATCGTACGGAATCTGGTTCTGTTATCTTTGGGCTTCCTGTTTTCCACGTTCGACATAAGCCATCCTAAAAACATGTTATAGAACGTTTTGCTAAGTTGGTCAACTCTTTGCTAAAGTTTCATGTTCTCAGTTTACCATTTTTGTCTTCATAACATTTTTCTCCCTTAACTATGTTACTGCCCATCTACATCTTCTTCTTATCCCTCTTTATATTCCGTTACTTTTACCGTTTTCGTCAATATGTCTCCTCTCTCCTATCTATTCCATTCCTCCTGTTTCTTCGCTACTTCTGCTGTCTTGTACGAATTCGTTTCCTTAATCAGCTTTGTTCGCTACGATTACTTGCTGAAATATGATTAGTAATCATTAAGAAAAATGTCTTTTGGTTCATTAATTCTTTAGAAACAATAAATTCTGTGAATGCCTTAACTTGATGATTTTACTAGTTTAAAATGGAACTACGAACGCGTGTGGCACAGTGGTCGGAGGTGCCCTGGAATACAAATGGGATCAATCCCCCGCCCCAGGCTCACCAAGCCCTTCATCCCTCCACGGTCGGCAAATTGGTACCAGACTTGTCTGGAAGAGTAGCACAGCACTGGCTCAATACATCGGTAGGCCACCGCGAGTAAAGGCCAGATATGAATTCATTAACCTTCAAACGATGCTTAATAAAGTGGAATGCATTGCGCATCCTTCAGAGATTGATCAACGTCCAAAGCTTTATCCTTCTATCCTTTAAAATGAAATTCGATCAATTCGCAGTCGACTAGAATTACTTTTAACACAAAAACTTTGCAGATACTTTAGAACTTTCTATCTTTTACCATGCTTCCTACTACTTTTCCTTTCGTGGTACCTGAAACTCAGAGTTCAGTTTCAAGAAAACAACTCTTGCTCCCATTGATTTCATCAAAGACAAGTTCACACAACCTGGCAAATCTGCCCCGTTCATTGATGTCATCTTGGTCGCTTGTACTTATTAACTAAGCTAATTTGGGAAGAAGCATATTTGTGACTTTCAGGACTATGTGTAAATACATTTATTGCATTGTCCTCTGCATCTTACTGACACACTGTAGCTGTAATCTGTTTACTGGGAGAATTTCCACGCGACCATCGGCGGGAAAGCGGACCATTACCGAAGCGTATGAAGTCTCCAGTATGAGAAGTAAGTTCACGTTACTGATAACTAATAACGGAAACTCTGGAAAGTGCAAAGCAACAGGGAGTAATATCAGACTAAACTTTTAACTCTGCTGCTTAGTGTTTGGTGTTAATAGATTACTGTCAGATATGTCCCGAGAAATCTTTATAGATCAGGGAGAGATACTAACAACCTTGTGACTAGGTTTTTTCCAGAATGGTCGCAGTTCGCTGCAGTGATCTATTCCCAGTTGGGGATCTTGATGAAAATGTGTAACCCTCTTACAATTTCGATGATCGTGTCGGAGTACAAACCATTTTTTATACATTACAGTTTGGCACACAGGATACTCCTAATCAGATTGAAGTGGTAAAGGAGTGGGTAAAATGGAGAAGATAGTTTGCTTTCCTCTTCCGAAATAGTAATTTTGCTGAGTTAAGTGCAATTTCATTAACTAATTTCAGATTTAATGTGCTCGCCTACAGTGGTGGATTCGGTTATAACGCGTATTGTAGCACTACAGCTCGAGATTGATGAACTTTCTGACGTTCTGACAACATGCCTTCCTGGAACAGAATTGGCAAGGCTCCAAGATCCAACTGTTTGACGTGTTGATTATTGGCGTTTCATGCCAGGATTCCAATGTGAGAATAACATCAGAAAGCGTGGATGTTTTTAGTTGTTTGGAAAGGCTTGTCATTAATGATTCCACTTTACTCAACAAGGCTTTTTTTTTACTATGACATTCGTACATATGCATACGCAAAAAGATAAAACATTGAGCATTCGCTGTGGTTCAAATCGCTGGAGTTGTCCATCCAACTCCATTGAATAACGGAATGGTGACCGATTTTATAGCTGTTCTATGAAATGACTGCAGCAGACTTACTCAACTGTCGATCCAGTGCTTCTTATCTTCCCATATCTTCCAAGACCTTGCATGTAATCCAGAAGATCTGTAAACATTGCGCAACACGATCCCGCCACACGCATTTGTAGACACACGCCTGCACCTGTGTGCTTGTGTATATTTGTGTATATCTGTGCAAGTTTGCGTGTAAATGTATATGTGCCTCTATATGTATATGTGTTTAAAAGATCACACTGAACGTTCAGAATTTAGTCAGTAAAGGCAAAATGATGTTTAAGCAATTTATCGTTAGCGGCTCTTTATGTGTTTAATACGTAACAAAGCAACAGTGCACTTGCGACTGGTCACAGATTGATTCAAAAATTGGAATCCGTACTACTGCCTCTACTTTCTCCATTTTCCTACCTTAACAAATAAGCTTAATGTACGGCTAAGGGAACACTAAGTACTCGTTGATATGCCAGAACCTACAGCAGAGTTCTGTGAGTTATCTGCGGTAAGTTTCGTTCCGAAGTTATGCAAATATTTGGGCATCATTGTGAAAAAATGTAATAAGCACTAAATAAAAATTTGACTTTGTAAATGGCAACATTTTAATTTTTTTATTCACTGCCAATTCTTTTTCCATGACATCGTGTGATGTGGAATGCAACCACGACGATGCTCAAAGATTTGCAAAACTCTGGACTGCAGGTACCTGCGGTGGGGAACGAACACGCTATTACCCTTTCCGGAAAACAATCCCACAGCGGGTCTTCCGTTTCGCCTGTCTTTCCGCTTAAATTTGCCACTCATTTTGGTACAGGCTGCATTGCTCACCAAAAATGCAGACGAAATCCAATGGCAATAATTCGCCATTTTACTTTAGAAGGTGCTTTGCCGAATCACTCAGTAAAGATCCTGCTCCATGTGAATACGATGACCCAAGTCGTATGGAAGAATCTGTGGAAAATAAATTCGGTTCTCTCCAGCCCAGTTGAAATATTGGCCGCTCTAAGCTTTACAACAGATTCTGCTAGCTCAATAATGTTATAAAGTGTGAATTATTAATGCTGTGGTTAAATGACGATCGGTTTGAGAAAAGTACTGATATGGTTCTAGGGAAGGGCGGTCGATCCGCCTTTAGAGGATAATATTTCTAAAAATTATGTAGCCCCAACAAAGCAACACATGAATAATCTGAAATATTGTCGATCCCACTGCATTTCATAGATTCGAGGTGTAAAATATATTACCCACCCCACTTCGTGGCACAACCATTTGAGAATCGATGGTGCATTCTGGACGTTTCCTGATTTGGTTTCCTTCCACATTTTACTACTTTTATGGGCACTATTCTCACATAACAAAAGTTGAAACATGGTGACTTCGACTGCAACCTTAGCTCATCTGGGATCAATGACGATTTGTGCTCTGCAAACCATTCCCATTAATGGGTGGTTGCTGATAGCACCGTTAGGGTGAAAAACGTAACTTCGGGCAGCCAAAGAGGAGGCTTCGGTTGTTGCCGTGGATAAACGCCAGCCCACGGTAAGCGAAATCTCTGGTTTGATTCGCACCTGATATCTCGAGTTTTCCTCATACCTCAGCATCCTTGTGATTATATGTCACTTAATGCATCGCTGGAAAAAAAAGAATAGGCAGTAAATAAAGTCTGTAGCGCGAGTTCTCGTATTCTTGAGTATTCCCTATTACCGAGTAAACTAAGTCCACGTGTCAACCGTCACAACCGCCACCGTATAAGCACTTTTTTTTCAGGTACAATTAGCTCCTACTAGTTCAACAATTGTTGGGTCCAGTGTTCAACATCAGGCTAACTGCTCCAAGTTTGACCTACAACGATGATCAGTGGACGTTTATCCCACCAACTTTGTGGTTGACCATTCCTCTTCTTCCCTTGCCGCCGATATGGGTGTATGTTTTAAATGACTCGTTATGGCAAGCATGTCCATTATGCCGGTACCAGTATTTTTACGAGATCTTCTATGAGAATCTATGAGAATAATACTTTTAATCTAGAACTGGCTTTTGTAACTATTACCAAATAACTAGATCAGAAATTTAAACACAACTTTGGCAGGGTACATTGTGATTGTTTTTTTCCCATGTGACTTCGACCGTCCTGCTTCCGGCAGTACGGGTTAGGTGAATTGATAGAAACTCGTCCTAGAAGGATGTATCCGCAACTATCAATCTTATTCTTCCAAAGGTAAACACTATGCGTATTATTAAAGATTTACTACGAAAATAAAAACAACTCGTCCTCACAAATACGTACGTAAACACAGACGTTATTTCATTTAAAAATTAGGAATGTGAAAAATTATAATGACGTCATGATTTTGAAGGATTATTGCACTGTCACACACAAAATTCGTAGTGTTGACTGAAGATATGGGCTGCCAATGATAATGTGGATTAGAAGAAAGTAGAAACGTGCTTGAAAATGTGATCCAAATAATGAAAAACCCGAACATTACAAGCAGCAAGCACACATCGTGTGAGAATTTGGTGACTTCTGAATGGGATCTCTTTATACACGATTTACTTCGTGCAAAAAAATGTAAATGATGTTTTTCATACTTCAAGCTCATGAAGTATATAGTAGAATGATCAGAAGGGTTTCGATTGGTCTACAATAGTTCCGTATAATATTGATATGCGTACAAAGATATTCTTAATGAAGAAGCTATTAGAGACGAATTTCTAGCAGTGTCTAGATAACCTGAAAATGCTGAAAAAACAACTCCTTACAGCTTACGAATGACGATGTACAAGTGTCGTCGTTAGCCAACGTCCAACTGTGATGCTCACTATGTCTACCGATCAGATTAACGCCAAACTGCTCAACGGGCATGGAGCGAAAACCCTATGTGCCGTACGAATCGTCACTTTACCATCGTGCAAGGAGTCCGGTTGAGCAAAGACAACCTGAATGCGACAGAATCAAATCTATTAAGTGTTTACGAAAAACACATGAGAAGTCAAATAACATTCATCATCTTGCTTCGTTAATTTGCACTGCTTTTTCTACAAGGATGTAACAGAGGACGATCCCAGATCTTCACCACAGGTAGTTGCCAGCTTTTCTGGAGGAGGCAAAGCTTTCCTCAGATAAGTCCTGTAGCAATTTCTAAGAAGCGGAGGAATGGGAGGTTTAGCTGGACGGGGTTTAACCAATGCCCTTGTGCAAACTGCTGAACTATTTCTAACCAAAACTGTCGCTTCGCGCCATTTACTTCCTTTCTGCTTGAAACATTTCTAATCAACATAAAGTAACAAAAACTGCAGGTTTTTCTGTTGCAGGAGCTTATTACGCAATTGGAAACCTTAACAAAATGCTCCTTTGAAATGAAAAGGAGTAGCTAAAATAGGTGACAAACCTGATCTCGATAAAGTCTGAGCTTCATTTCAGGTACGGCTACATTTTGGAGAATTTTCATGGCCTGTTCACCTGGTTGTACCATCGCAACACATGTAGCAGGAAACGAGAGGAGACTTTCGGTACTAAAAATAGCTGATTTAAGAATGGCCAAAGCGTTCGCGTTTGATTAGTCCCTGAAAGATGCGTCGTACACTAGACACTTCGACAGAGGTGAGTGACTGCGTATGTAGCGGCTTGCGGAAGCCTAGTGATGTCCTTCAATATCAAGTCAATACTGTTATCATCTCAAAAAAGTCTGGCACCACACTGTTGAGATGTGGATGGCTTGAATCGTTCGTGGGACAACGGATCTTACTGAGCACCTTGTGAATATTATAAAACACCTCCACTGCGCTGTTCGAACCTTTCACTATCAAGATGTTTTTTGGAGCAAATGGGCAATGCTTTTGTGCTGACATTCGTACTTTATTCATTTTAACTACATAGAATCAGTTACCGGTCGTGCTCCCGAAATCCATGCAGCCAGTCTGGATCGCCGTTGTCGACAACGTACACACGTTCACCGAGCACTAGTGGTGCAACTGCATTCGGTGGAGCGTACTCATGAATCACGATGTATCCACCATTCAAAGCTTAATAAGAAGCCTCTCTTTAAGACAGATTAAGAACACTAATGAGTTAACAGTTACAGTTCTAGATACATACACTGATACAAATGGTGCAGTCTACTTTAGAGTGAACAGTTTCAAACGAGTTTTTGTCAGATAATACAAAAAGAGTGGTGCTTCTAAACGTGTATTAGTGGGCCCATTTGAAGCATGTGCACGTTGCTTAACCGTCTACAATTTACCAGGTGCTGCACTGCTTCGTCGACTATTTCCATTACATGGAGAACAACTTCGCTCCCAATCGGACAGATCTGAAGAATCGTTCTTTCTCCGTGGATATGCACCGACTATTTTTGTTCCTAAAATTGGAGAAGAGAGCTATTAAGAGATGTTTAAATCCTTGAAAACAAAATGCACTCCTATTTATCGAAAAGCTCAAGGTGCTGTAGGTTCATAAGCAATAGCAGATTTTGTTTTTCTTTACATGACCCGTTATTACATCTACCACGCGAATCCCAATACTTCTCACACTCGATTCGTTTTTCCTCGCATTCACCGTACACAAAGGTATTTGAACACTCCACGTCTTGCTTCAGCTGCTGCTTGAGAATTTCGTCTTTTCTTTACAGTGAATATCGTAGAATTCTGGCCGAGTAGATTGTCCTTGAGATCTTGGAGATAGCCCAGCTAAAACGTACTCACGTTGATTAGAGGGGAGCTTTGGAGAGGTGTTGAACTATAACTTTGCTTCCTGATAGGTTGTATCACTAACCACTGCGCAATCCTTTGCATTATAAATGAACTGTTTGAAAGTGACTGACATGCAGAATAATTTATTTGAAAGAATGACCAATATATTTACATGCGTAGTACCTTGAGTACGCACAATCAAGCATCAAGTAGAGTTTGTCATTTTCTTCAGACTTGTCGAATTTTTTATAAAGTAAAAAAGCAGACTGAAGCAGTAGAGGGTGAAACTAAGCAAACAACATTCTTACGAATAGAAACACTATGTTCGACAATATCTTCATACACTTACTCATCGGACTGCGATTCGTTGTGTTGATTCTTGGCGGCATCTCCTGACAGTCCAACGAAAGCGATTTCATTTGTGTTGTCAATTTTGGTGCACGTCTACGTCCTGCTGACGGGCCTGGAAGCAGCTGCTATGAAATTTAATCAACAACAGACAACGAAAATAGTTGGTGAATCACTGGACGGGAAGAGTTGTCATTCCCTTCGTTTCGACAATGGTTGCTGTGACTTGTAAACTCAACTTATGATGGTTGTCTAAGCTTTACGGAAGCGCTAGCACTAAAAATGTGGTCGATAACGTGCCTAAAATGTTAAGGGTCACCGTGTTGGGAGGCATAACTCTGCCTGATGACGCGCGCTCGCTATTAGAATTGGGTCCAAGTTTCTCACCAGCGCAACCCATTTCTAAAGAAACCTTGCGTAGGATAGCGTGCAGCCTGCACGAGCTCCAAGATCGACTCCGAAGCAACGCTAGAATTGAGACACAAAATGGAAAAGAACAACGAGCAGCAGGGGCGCTTCCCCACCTCCATTTCCTCGGTTATTCTTTAGACAGCAAGACCCAAACGACGAAGTCGATATAAAATTTCGTATTTTTTCGAGCGAAACTCTTAAAGTCCTTAACCATTATCGCGCGAAAAGGTTTAGTTCGAACCTGACAGCTACGCAAAAATCTGGTATGCGACAGGTTCGAGAGCTAATAAAATCAAAAATTATTAGGCTATCAGTTAGTGATAAGGGTGGAGAGTTTGTAGTAATTCCTCGCCAGTTAGATGTCGATATAACAGAAAAACATCTCGAAGACGCGTCTCTTTATCGCGCATCTACTGAAAAGGAATTCAGAAGTCAAAATCGAAAACTGAACAGCGAATGGGTCAAAACTGCAAGCGCAGCAGGTTTAAAACCAGCAGACATTTCGCATCTAAAGATCGAAGTGCCGACATGTCCCGTCCTATACTTACTTATCAAGACCCATAAGTTAATACGCGCTGATGATCTGGCGTGTACCGACCCCTCCACTTTTAAAGTGAGACCCATCATCAGTTGTGTAGACGGGCCTACAGATAGAATTGCTTGGTTTATAAACCTAATCCTCAACCAGTTGCTTA